TGGTGGTCAGACAAAGCAGCAGCCCCCTTGGCCTACAGGGTGCTGAACCCCAGAAATCAGTGCAATTCCAGCTTCCTGGAGCGTGCATGCAGCGTGCGTGCCGTCTGTGTTTTGGAACTTAAGTATAATGTGTGTAAGGCTGATGAATAATTCCTATCTCCTTTCCTCCCTCTCCTGGCTCTTTTCTTTTTTATGTGTGTGTGTATGTGTGTGTGTACGTGTGTGTGTGTGTGTGTGTGTGTATGTGTGCGCGCGCGTGATGGTGTGAAGGCTAAACAGTCAATCTGAGCTGTATCCTTCAGAAGCTGTCCATCTTGTTTTTGGAGACACGGTCTCCCTCTGGAACCTGGCGCTCACTGATTTGGCTGGGCTGGCTGGTGAGCCCCCAAGGATCCCTCTGTTTGCTCTCCAGAGCAGGCCTTTTACATGGGTGCTGGGGTGGAGCTTGCACGGGAAGCACTTACCAAGTTATCTCCCCAGCCCACCTTCTCCCTTCGTCTGAATATCTTTTCCTTTCTGGCACTAGGCTCTGCATAGCCCAACCTGGTCTGGAGCTTGCAATCCTCCTTCCTCAGCCTCCTGAGAACTGGGCTGACTTGGCTGATGGAAGATGCCAAGTCTCTTGTTTCCTCTTTAAGGCATGCAAAGATGGCACAGGAGAGAGAGGGCAGCACAGGAGTTGGCACTGTGGGGAGAGGAAACTTGCCCAGGAAGAAGTGTAGGACAGGTGAGCACAATGTTCCCTGTGGGGGATGCTCTGTGTGTGTGTGTGTGTGTGTGTGTGTGTGTGTGTGTGGTGTGAGAAAGAGAGAGAGAGAGAGAAACACGAACACAGAGACACATACACAAAGAAACACACACAGACTCATACAGAGAGAGAAAGAGAGATAAACAAGAACACAGAGACAGATACACAGAGAGAAACACACACAGAGAGACTCATTCAGGAGACAGAGAGAGAGAGAGAGAGAGAGAGAGAGAGAGAGAGAGAGAAAGAAACTGGCTCTTGGCCTCTGGTTTGTCATCTGGCCTTGGCCAGGTGAGGAGGTAGAATAAGCAGTCCCCAGTTCCCTGGCTGTGCAAGGCACCCCTCAGCTGGCTCAGCTCCCCCTCCCCAGGCAGATGGAATGGGACAGAGATGAGGTCCCACCTCGCTCCACAGTACCTGCCTCCGTCAGCAGAATTCTTTTCTTTTTATTGCCTTGAAGACACTTGCTGACTGGGTCAAAATCGCTTCCGCAAGATGTGACCGATGATGCACCAAATGAAAACTTCTTGCTGGGCGTCTGGAGGCCTGGAGAGGGCCTCCCCACACAATGACACCCCTCTGTTCCAGGCCCAGGTGGCCCAGGTGTGGAGCAGCCCGGGGGGGATCGTGTTACACTCTGGAGCGGCTGGGTCTGGGTGTCCTGGCCTTGGTGTGGGGCTGGTGTGGGTGGGGGCCTGGCCGGCTAAGGGAGTCCTTGGCTGGCCTGGAGTGGGGGCTGGGAGACAGCAGATGGCAGAGACTGACAGATTGATGAGTCTTTATCTCTAACATCCCTGCTGGGTCCTCCTTCGCTCTTGGGCCATTGCTGTCTACTTGGGGCTGGCTTGCTACTCTGCAGAGACCACCATGGAAAGTTCTGCAGTTCATGGGAACCCTACAAGCTTCCTTTTAGTGAATTTCCCTTCTTACCCAATGCCAACTAACATTCGCCAAGGATGTTTTGTCCTCCGTGCCCCAGGCACCCAACAGAGCTCTTTCCAGGAGTGCACCTGAATCCTCATGCAAAAGCTCCTAGCCCTCCTGACCCCCATTTTATCGATGGGAAACAGGTCGGTCTTTCTCTTACAGTGCACAGGTCGAAGACCTGGGTGTGGAGCCCTGGGCTGGCCCCCAGAGTCCAGGGTATCACTTCTTCCCTGCAAGGCTGTTCCCAAGGAACCTCAAAGCCTGTCCTGAGGTGGCCTCCGCTCTACAAAGTGTCCATGTGTCCCTGGGGGTGCCTCTGGCCTTCTTGTTTGCTTAGTACTCAGACAGCAGGCCAAGGTGGGGTCTTGGGGACTTCTCTGAGGAAGGAAGCACAGAGGAGAGCCCTCCTTCCCCCAGGTTTGATTTAGAGATAAGGCTAACTAGGGGGTGGTGAGAATTCAGAGAAAAGCTTATCTCAAGGGTTTGGGGAATGAGAAAAGGTGGCCTCTGGGAGGTAGGGGCCTGGCTTCTCACAGTCACTGACCTTTAGGGTTAGGTTGGGCTGATTACCCATCATCCAACAGGTACTTTGCTGTGCTTCTGATGTGGGAGACTCAGGGAGAGCCCAGGTGGGAAGCACACTAGGGTCCTGCTTCCCCTCCTCTGACAAAGCAGTGTTTTTCATATGTAAATTGGTAACTCCTAGCCATGTTCTTCCCTCTACAATGGCCAAGCCTTGTTGGCTAGGGAGATGCCTCCCAAGATGGGGGATGGGTTTGAGAGCTAGTGGGACTGCTGTGAGCAGCACATCTTAACTAGATACCATTCTAGACTCTGGAAAGTAGCCACCTTCTTCATTGACTGGCTCTGGGGGTGACAGAGTGTCTGCAGCAGCCTTGGCCTCCGCACCCAGCATGGGATACTGACAGAGCTGGGGGCAGCTTGGTGATTTGCCCCTGCTTTGTGGGCAGGCCCCCACTGCCTGGGCTCCTCTTCCTGCTACCTTCCTTAGGAGAGAGGGTCTCTTCTGTACCCTCCTCCAGAAATTCCACATATCCCCTTACCTGTGGGGACTGGAGTGACCTGGGGTCTTGAATTGCAGCCTGTCCCCCAAGAGTGGCTGTGCTGTCACGCCCTCAGCAACCTGTGGGTCAGATGGCCTCCTCTACCCAAAGTTCAGTCAGGTGTGCCATCTCCACCTTCCCACAGTGCCTCATCAGCTTGGCTTCAGCATGCTTCCCAGAACGACCAACCCTCCCATCCTCAGACCTTACTGAGGGTCCCTGCAGTTTCCCAAAGCCTGAGAACCAGTTTCCCATGGAGGCTGCCACATTGTCTGGCTTGCTCATTGCTATGTCTTTCTGCCAGGCCCTGCATGTGGCTCCCAGGCTGGTCAGGGGTATTTCAAAATGAAAGTAGAACCCCTTTGCTCATCCATATCACAAACTGTAACATGCTCTGTGACCACAGGACATGACACCAGGATGACCGCACAGGCCACTAGCTGTTCTCACTTCCAGCGTGATCTTAGTTCACAGAGGCTGGGCAGATGCTGACAGGGGTCTGGACTGGCGAGGCAGCTGGACGCCTGTGACACCTGGCCTCGGCCTGTGTGGGGATGGCTAGGACCTGTAGTAAGGGCACAGCTCTTGCTTCTGGCTGGGTGCAGGTCCCTTTGTCACCTGTGTGACCCCTCTGGCAGCCATATATACTAAAAGTCCCAGAGAGCCCTGTGTCAGCCATCTCCATTCTAGGGAGCCCTGAAACACCAGGCTGCCCTCTCTCAGTCTTCCAGCTCCAAGAGAAGTGCTCCTAAGCAAACGGTTATCTAGAAGCCTTTACCCAACGTCCTCCATACTCTGCCCGTCACTCCCCTGGGTCCTCCATGTAGCCCTGCTCCAGGAGAGTAGGGACATCTCACCTATGACCCCGCAGCCACTCTGGGTGAAGGTGGTTTTGCTTCTGTTTTTCAGATGAGAAAACTGAGGCTCCACAGAGCAGTAATCCACTGAAAGTCTCTCCCAGCTGGGTCTGGGGATCTTTCTTTGTGTGGGGTGACTGGTCATTTTGGGGCAGGGAAAGAGTCTTCTGAACAGCCCCTGGGCCACCAACTAGGGTACCAAGACCAGCTGTTTACTCCTCGGGCCCTGCTTGAGGATGAGGGTGGGGTAAGGGGGTATGTCAGACAGTGGTGTGAGGGGAGCTAAGGGACTTGTCTCAGGATGAGGGGGTGGGTGCTGTTAAACATACTGGCCCAAGGAGGCAAGGGTGGGAGCACTCTGGTCCTAGATTTCACTTAGGCACTCAACAAACACTGAGTTCCACTGACAGGGATTCCCAGGCTCTAGCTCACTGGGTGTGTGTGTGGGGGCACAAGTCAAGAGTCTGGCCCCCCAGGGTGCTAGATTTCCTTGGGGGTAGGGAGACAAAACAATAGACCTTGTAATCCCAGGCAGTGGAGAGGGGATATGTGTGTGTGTGTGTGTGTGTGTGTGTTGGGGGGGGGGCTTGAAGTGCAGAAAATAAAACAAGTGTGGGGAGGGGTCAGGAGAGGAAGCAACCTTATCTCTGCGGGTCCAGGAAGGTCTCCTAGAGGAAGTGGCATCCGAAGGGGGCGGGTAGGGAGAGTCCCAGGCAGAGGACTGACCAGGGGTGGAGGGGTCGACGTGACTGAAGCAAATGGCTGTTTAAGGAGGGATGAGCCAGCCCCATGGTCACCACCTCAGGGAAGCCTCGGATTCCCGGCGCTTTCTCACCACCGCCCCAAGATCCCACTGGTTGGGTTCTGGCCTCCTCCAATTGAGAGTCCCGGGAGGGCCGGACCTCCTCGGATTCCTCTCTCCGCACCCCCCGCGGCGTCCGTCCCAGTACCGGGCACCCGGTGGGCACTTGGTAAATATTTGTAGAGCACCCTGGGAGGAATGAATGAAACCATTGGGCCCAGTTGGGGGAGGGCAGGGCGGAGCGCAGGTGGGAGGCCGCGGGCGGGGTCGGTCCTCCCGCTCCTCCTCCCCTTCTCTCCAGCGCGTACCACTCCCGATCTCCGGAGGCGGCTGGCGGCGAATCCAGGGTGCACAGGGCAGGGGGGACTCCGGGCCCCTGCTCTCAGCGCTCCAGGTCCCAGGAGGGTTCGTCGCCGGTGCCCGCGGGCCTGCGAGGACCGGAGCGGGAGGAGGGAGCGCGGGCTGGCCGTCGCCTCCCGGGTACTCGCTGTCCGGGCTTTGCAGGCTGCTGCTCCTCCCACCCCGGCCCGCCTCCTCCTCCTCCTCCTCCTCCTCCTCCTCCTCTTCCTCCTCCTCCTGGCTTCGACTGCCCCGCGAGCCCTGCTCTGCGTCCCGGCGAGTGCGGGGCGAGGGGCCCCGGGCCAGAGCGGGAACACGGGTTCCAAGCAGAGCGCAGCCGGCCGGGGAGTGGCCATGTGTGTCGCGGCGGCGGCGGGGCTCGTCTGCAGCCAGTAAGCGAGCGCGGTGGACAGCTGCCCTGCCCCCCCTTGTGCTGCCACCTGGGGCGGCGCGGGCCGCTGTGCCCAGGGTCGCGCGTGGAGCCGGCGCGATGCACGTGCGCTCGTTGCGCGCCGTGGTGCCACGCAGCTTCGTGGCGCTCTGGGCGCCTCTGTTCCTGTTGCGCTCCGCCCTGGCCGAGTTCAGCCTGGACAACGAAGTGCACTCCAGCTTCATCCACCGGCGCCTCCGCAGCCAGGAGCGGCGGGAGATGCAGCGGGAGATCCTGTCCATCTTGGGCTTGCCCCACCGCCCGCGTCCGCACCTCCAGGGCAAGCACAACTCGGCGCCCATGTTCATGCTGGACCTGTACAACGCCATGGCGGTGGAGGAGAGCGGGCCCGACGGCCAGGGCTTTTCCTACCCCTACAAGGCCGTCTTCAGTACCCAAGGGCCTCCTCTGGCCAGCCTGCAGGACAGCCACTTCCTCACCGATGCCGATATGGTCATGAGCTTCGTCAACCTCGGTGAGTGACAGTGGAAGGGGGTTCGTCTCCGTAGGGGGACACTCGGGCACAGGGAGGGGGTCACTGCTAACAGCCAGCGCGTCCACCTTTCCATTTGCAGAACCTCAGCGCCTGCCCCGGGCTCTCGCATCGGGGTCCCAGTGGACCCCAAGCTCTTTACCCACCACCCCCCGTAGGGTTTGCTGGCCCAGCTGGCCTGTGGGGGCTCCTGGGAGGAAAGGACTGGTCCCAAGTGCCTTTGCTGCTCCGCCGCCAGTCGCATCTCAGGGGCGGGAGGCGCCTGCCGGGCCGCGGCTCAGTTCAAAGTGCCCGGCTGGGTCATGTGAGCTGTCCCGGCCGCGGCCCGCGCTACCTGGGCTTAAAAGGCCCTAGTGGGCCAGGCTGCTTTCCCATCCTTCCTCGGCTCCTTGGAGCCTGGCCTGGCCCTGGCACCGCGGGCGTCACTTCCCATCCCTGTCTCGGCCAGCCCTACCTGGTCCCCTCGCGATGCGCCCGCCTGCTTGCGTGCCGCGCGCCGGAGCGCCTCGGGGTGCCTTTCCCAGCCGCCCACCTCCGGGCTCTACTCGGCTGGAGCTGGGGAAGCAACGTTGCCCTTGCAAGCTTTCTATTTTAAATATTTAATGATAGGTCCCCGGCGGGCAGAATCCATTTTCAGCGTTTATCACGTGTGGCGCGCAAACCACCGGTTTTGGCGATTGGGTGTCTGGGGACCTGGGAGCCGAGGCAGCCGCTGGGTGGTGGTTCCCTGCTGGAATCCCAGCCAACCCCAGCGATGCGAGGCCCCAGGCCCCGGGGCAGCTTCCCCACCATCTGTAGGCACAAGCATCAAACTTGCTCAAACTAACCCCTAGCCGCGCGCTGTGGGGGGTGATGACCAAATATTTGGTTTGGGAGATAACCCAGCCCTGATAGTTCCCTTTTCTGAGCCGCTTTAATTCCGCTTGTGGGAGTTGATTCGAAAACACCAAGTCAAGAGACCAAACATGCCCACCGGGTGCTGTGTCAACTTGGAAATAATGAAGTTTGAAACCCTGCTACCCCACCCCCTACCCCCCGCGCGGCTGAGCACTCGGGGCACTCGGGGCACCTCTCGGGGCCAAGATCTACCCACCCCAGATACGGGCCCTGGGATTTCTGGGAAGCCATTGTCTGTGCCCAGTGATGGCCAAAACTCAAATAGTGAAACAAGGTTCAGGGAACTTAGAGTCTAAATCCTGCTTAGACACACACATTAAGAGCCAGGACCTGGATTTGAACAGTCTCCAAGATAGGTAAGGTGGGGAGCAAGGCAGGTGCTGATGGCGGTGGACACCATGAAGGGCAGAGAGATTTTCTTGGGGGATACTTAGTGGGGGAGATGGAATCTGTGTTCCATTGTATGATTAAAAAAAAAATGTGTGGATTTGTTACCTATAGCAAAAACTAAAGAAAACTGAATACATGCTTATCAAGACGTGGACATACATGGAGCTCTTTAACCATCGCGAAGCCAGGGTTAACTCCAGGGCCCTTTCTCTGGGGTAGGGGAAGGTGGCTTATGGCATCCCCAGTCTGTCCTGTCCTGTGATTTCCACTGAGCGCAGCAGGCAGCCGCTGATCCAGAGCCTGGCCGGGCTCATTAAGAATCCATTTGTCGTGGCAGTCCCTGATTCTGGTCAGGCAGTGTGGTCCCAGCTGTCCTCCTGCATCCCAGAGGGCCAGGTGGCTCCTGGGGTGCTCCTGGGAGCTTGGCAGGGGCAGTTGCCCCCCACCTTGGGTGCAAGCTGGGGCGTGCTGGGAGGCCACAGCTGGGTGGCTTCTTCCAGCTGCGCACACCTTTTAGTCCCGTTCACTCATGTTGAAAGGACAAAGACCTGCTTTTCTGAGCCTCTTAATCATCAGGGCTGACTTGGAGCTTTTGTGGGACTATCCTGGCTTTCCCAGGTCTGGCTTTCTTTCTTTTCTTTCCTTTTTTTTTTTGTCTTTTTGAGACAGGGTCTCCCTGTAGCCCAGCTGTCCTGGAACTCACTATGTAGACCAGGCTGGCCTTGAACTCACAGAAATCCACCTGCCTCTGCCTCCCGAGTGCTGATATTAAAGGTGTGTGCCACCACCATCTGGCTTTCTGGAACATCACTCCATATGGAACATCACAGCATTGGAAAATCAGATAGCAAAGTGGCTTTTAACAGAGCCCATAGACCTGGGTCTTGTTTTCTTTCGAGGTCTGTCCCTAAACTCAAGGTGATTAGGAAGCCCCAGATTGCATTTGGTTAGGACTTCCTGTATGTGTTTGCACCAGTGGCCTTTAATTTCTGCTGGGCCACAGCACAGGAATGAGCTGCCCACCCCTACTGGTGTGATTTCTTCTTTTCAGGAGGGACTTGGGGGTGGTAGTTAAGTTAGAGAGGGGTGGTGTGACTGGAGACTGGTTGTAAGAATGCATAGTTAGACTACAGGGCATGTGGATGGGATACAAAGTTTTAGAAATCCAAGTTTCCTCTCATCCTCGGGGTGAGAAAACATCAGTTGTTCTTGTCAAACTATTTCTTGTTATCGTTACAGGGACTTGGGGTTTGGTGCAGATTTGGGGGGGAGAGGCTGACTTCTCAGCTGCCCTGCATGCTTTTGCTGTCCTCCAGGCCGGCCTGCTTAGGGACCCCTGCCTCAATCCTGAAGGCTTTTGCAGACTGGCTGCCTTTATCCCTCTGTCTGCAGCCAAACTGGTTTTTGTTCCTGTAAGTTGTTCTCGTTGGAATTTGAGCCTTTTGCCAGGCCGAGTGGGATCTACACTAGAGGGAGATTTATGACAAAACCAGGTCCTGGGAGTGAGGACTTGACCGTCCCTCATCACAAAGGTCAGCCTGAGCCATAAAGCCCCATGCAGCGCCAGCCAGCCAAGTGGGACTCCCATCTTCCCAGCCCCCGCCCCTAAGTTCAATGGCAGGATCTGAAAACTGGTTTGGATTAACAAGCCCCCTGTCTTCTCTGCGTAGACTTCATTTTGGAATTCAAAACAGGCTACACTCTCTCAAACAGTCCCCAGGCCATGGTGATCCTGCAGAGTCGGAGTCTAGCCATTAACCCTGACCACTGTTTCTTTGGAAAACCCCAGCAGCTGTGTTTGGAATCTTCTAGAAAGCCAACTGGCATGGAGGGGGTTTGACTCCTGTTTATCTCTGGGCCAGGTTAGGAAGGAATGAAATGTGTTTAATCTTCGAAGCTAAGTTAGAACCCTGTCGTTATTGGAACCAGCACATTAAAGTGGCTTTTGTTAGTGTGGGCTGAGAATCAGGGGAAGGCCTAGCGGTTTGATTTTTGCTTTACCCCATCTGGCCATCCCTTCTGTTGACAAGTGTTTGGCATTAAGATCTCTCCTCTACCCTTCAGAACAGGCCCTACCACTGTGGAGTATTGGGGAGTTACTCTGTGGAGCGCGGCTGCAGGCGCCTGCAGCTGTAAGCTGGCCCGCCTTAGACTCTGAAAGGGGTTCCTTTGCATCCCAGTCCCGAGGTGAAGGTTAATAGAGATGTCGTACAGCTTCCCCTGTCCTGTCATGCCCCCGCCCCCAAAGCAGCTTCACCCTAGGAGTGTACCAACAGCTGTGTTTTTAGTAACCCTTTCAAAATCACTTCTTTCAAACCTCATTTCCCCGGGTCTATAAATCAAAGATTTCCCCCTCCCCTTTTCCCAAGGATGTTATGTGACCCCGATTTGAACTTTTTTGGGGTCATCTGTGTGTGTGTTTCTCATCTGCAATCAGGGCAGGCTAAAGCTGGACCCTGGATGGCAGCTCCTGTGGTTGGTTTGGGTTTTGCATTGGGGTCTGAGGTCTCCATGGAAGGGCAGGGGAGATGATGCAGATGATGAACCTGGAGGAAAGAAAGCCCCTCCTGAGAGCTGGGCCTCGGCCTACCTCGATGATGGCCGCCATCAAGCCTTCACTCAGATAAACACAGAGGGTGGGCGATCCCCTGACGCTGGCATGCCTGTGATATGAGCACATGTCACATGTCCACTGAACTCAGAGACAAGTGATGATTTCATCCCAGGGAGAGTCCCATTGTGGTTGATTGATCGCCCCGATCACTTTCATGTCTTGCCCACCCCATTCACTAAGGTCATATTTGGCCCATGGCGAGCCTCACAGTGTCCTCCCGCTGCCTCCGCCCTTCCCGCCTGCCCTGCCCCTTCGTGTAGCTGTGGAATGAGAGCCCTTCCCACCCAGCTGCCTCCTGGTGCTCTGCAGCTGTGGGCTGGGGCCCTCGACACACTGGGAATGTGGCTGGCCGCTGCAGAGCTGGCCCCACAGGCTCTGCCGTGTCACCAGAGTGGGGACTCAGGCAGGGATGTGTAGGATCTGTCATGTTATCATCAGAAGGAATGCACACAGGATTAGCAAGAGAGCGCGTGGTGGTGGGAGGGAGCCGCAGCTGTGTATACTTATTTTAAAGGATTTAAATCCCACTGGTAAAATCAATATATTGAATTGCATAGCCCTCTGCTTTTAATTAGTTTAAATCAAACGCTCCAAGACTGCTTTGCCTCCCTTTGCCTCTGTGGGGTGAGGAAACACCAATATTTACATAGAAACTGTTAATTTGTGGTGCAAATGGTAACATATTCTATGGCTTTGACTTGACGGATCACAGATTGGTGTGGAGTTGGGAGGGGTGGTATCAGTAGGATGAAGGAGCAGAGAGGGGACATCCGTGACTCCCAGGGCTTGGACCCCAAAGTTGGGACACAGGTGGGTGTGACCTCAGGTTGAACTTTTAAGAAACTAGTCTACTTTCTGTACAGGAGATTAGAAATACTGAGATTTACCAATGCAACCCCTTAAGCATTCTTGCAAAGCTGTGCAGGGTGCTTGCCCTAGGCAGGCTTGATTCCACCCCACCAGCATGTGGGGCACTCTGTGTCGGACAGCTTGAGGCACATGCTTTATTTATTCCAGAGCTTGCTTTCCCAATTCCTGTGACTGTTTATAGAGGCAGGAGGGCTTGCTCATTGAAAGCGAT